GGCCTGGCTGCTTTGATTAGCCAGGCTGGGCAAGGGTCCAAGGAGGAGGTGGTGGCTCGACAGCGGTCAAGCACTCTGGCCACAGAATCAGGTGTGACAGGCTGAAAGGAGTCAAGGGTTACCGGCCAAGACGGAGCGCTGGACATCTCTGCTCGACTCACTGTGTTCAAAAAAGGAGAGAGAAGCCAGTTTCAGAACCCTTCAACTTCCTAGGACACTCTCTCGTGGATTTCAAAAAGGCTATTGTAGAAAAAAAGGAATTAGAAAGGGAGACTGGAGAAGGAGGCAGTAGAAGGAGGCCACATAAACAAATTCTACTGTATCTCTGAAGCCATAAATAAAGATCAAGGTTTCTTAGCACACTACATATGTTAAATGGCCCATTTTCTGTAACATGCCCAAAATCTGGTTCCATAAATTATGCCCGGGTAAGATTGATAATGATACCATCAGGAGATTTTAAGTGATTAGCAAGTACCTGCTTCCATCCTGGTGCTGACATGGCTAGCATGAAGTGAGGTTGATTACAGGTTGGACAGATGAGCCACAAGACGGACACAAGACCTCTGTTAAATGGCAAAAATCTCTCCTTACCTGCATCACTCTTACACAGAACAGAATTTTGGCCTATATGTATAAAATACTTGTCTCACTTGGCATACTATAACCTATACACAACTCTTAACGTTTATATGACAGCCAAATCATCCTGTTAGTCAACTGTGATTTGTAATTTCAAGTAATTAATATAGCAGTACTCCCATGGGTATGTTAACAACACATTGTTACCTAATGTGTTTGTTTGTTTGTTTGTTAGACTTCTACCTCGCCCATCTAGACCAAAGGTCTACTCTGTTGTCTCTGTCTTCACCTAGTCATGACCACCATGGGGATAGGTAGAAATACAGATGGCAGAGTATGAGTACTTTCGTGTTTCTGAGAAGGTGGACTTTGGATCCGTGAAAGTTGGTATTGAAACATATCTGTTTTTTGTGGCACAACATGTTGACCTTTCTTCTCTCTCTGTCATTCTCTCTCTTTTGGTTNCCCCCCCCCCCCCCCCCTTTTAATTTTGTCAACATGACAAAGGTGGGAAGCTGCACTCCTATAACTTCAGAATAAATCTTCCTGGAATTAGTGGCATTTATATCTAAGCAGACACACATAGGGTTGGACTGTCAGTCATAAAATAAACTTAAAACATCAGAAATGCAATAACCATAGAGTAATAAAGCATCATAAATACAACAACTAGTAAATAAAACACCTTAGTCTGAACCCTGCTAAATATGCCTGTCAGGATTCAAAAACACTCATGCACACGCATGCACACATGGAGGGAGACCTTAAGAGCGTAGTCACCATTTCTAAAATATATATACTGTATATATATTGTAGCGGTAGAAAAGGTGCAGAAAGGACAACCAAAATGATCAAATGTGTTGGAGCAACTGACTTGTGAAGAGAGGTTACAGTGTTTGGAACTGCTAAGCTCGGAAAAAAATGTGAGTAAGGGTGAAGATTATAGAAGTTTTTAAAATTAAGCATGATATGGAGAAAGTGAGAATGAAGATTTTTCTCCACCTCTTGTAATACTAGAACCTGAAGAACTATTGGAAGATTTGTGTTGACCACCAGTTTGTTTAGCTTTGCAAAGGTATTGGATAAATATATGATGGGTATTTTTTATCTCTAGCATCCCATACAGTACGCCTGCGTATATGCTTTGTTGGCAAACAAAAATAGAAGAGGAGGATGGCTCTCATGTCCTTGCTAATGACCTTTCTATGAGCATGTGGGCTGTAGAGGAATAGAGGTGTACTTTCATCTGAAGCACACTGGCTTATATTCTTACACAGACAAAACTCCCTTGGAAGGCTGTTCTGTAACACAGAGATTGCAACTGAAGATCCTTTCTCTCGCACACCCAAAATATACATCAGATGACAAGTGAATCATGTTTGATCAGTTAGACATTACTGTATTGACTGGAGATGAGATTTCAGCTTGTTTTCCTCCTCCACTGATACAGTCACTGTGGGATTTTGTTCTTCCACATGTAAAATACAGTGGAGCACTGAGTGCTGGGAAGAACTCGGGCACAACATGCATAAACTAGAAGCTTTGGGGCCAGATATTTTTTTAATGAGGTTTGAATGTTCAGGATTCTGTCAAACCTTCAGTGGTTTAAAATGTGTATGATACTTTTTGAGCTCTTCCAGGAAATGTGCAAATTCCTCCCGTTTTTCCCATTTGGTTGTGAAGTAGTACAGGTTTATTATGGTCCACATCCAAACATCATTTTAGAAGGCTTTTTTACATCACTTTATGAAATCTTAGTAATCCTTAAAAAGTTTGTAAGAAATGGTTGTTGTGGGTTTTTCGGGCTCTTTGGCCGTGTTCTGAAGGTTGTTCTTCCTAACATTTCGCCAGTCTCTGTGGCTGGCATCTTCAGAGGCCAGATTTCGCCTCGGGGTTAACTCCTGAAGCCTTTTCAATTGGTGGATATAGCCACAAGGCAGTGGAGGTTTGGAATCGGCGTTTTCCTTCTCCTATATGGGCTGCCTCCCAAGGCTGACGGGTCCCACCTACCAGACCTGTTCCCTCACGGCATGGAGGCCGATGGCGGCAATAGATCCCAGCCATGAAAGCCTTCACGATTACTTTGTAAAAAAATCTCCTTTCACACTGAGAGATTTTTTGTAGATGGGCTGCCTTCCAGGGCTGACGGGTTCCACCTACCCACTTTGTTTTTCACTATCACTTTAAAAGAAACCAGTATTCCATGCAATAATGATGATGATGATTACAATGATGATGGAACTTCAGAACTGGAAGTGACCCTGCTTACTTACTTACTTACTTACTTCCCTTTATTTGGTAACATGTGCTATTTGAAAGCTTCTTTAAGTATGAAGCTCTGACTGCAGAAATGAACTTCGGTGGAAACCTCTATAGCACTGACTTCCACCCCAGTACAAACTGATACTAAAAATAAAGCATGCCTTCGGGAGGGATGAAAAAAAATATTAAAATTACCTGCTAGAGAATTCTAGTGCACTTCTGTGAACAAGAGAAGAGAATTATAAGTTTCTATTCAAATTACAAATGTTAGGGTTCTGTAAATGAAACCATGGCATTTAAAGCCACATATTACTGCTATATCTGTGTAATGTACAGTAGATACACTCTTATTGATGCTGTCAAATCACCTCTCTGCTTCATGTAAGTTCTTGTTTTAATTGTGCAGAGAATAACAAAATCTTTTTAGTAACATAACCTTGACAGCTCTGATTCACACTTGGACACACCTAAAAGTAAATGCAGGAAATAGACTGATAAGCAGATACTGCCACCATGTGTTAGTAGTACTTTTGCTTTAGTATAGAAACACTAAAGGGACTTTGAGCTCTTAAAGCTGGCGAGACCATAGGAAACAGAAGGAAACAGCTGAGCAAGGTGACAATTGCTAGAGGTAGAAAAAAACTAAAGTAGATAAAGGAGTGAGTAATAATTATTACTTATTATTAAAATTATAGGCAACATATAAAAGACAACACTCTGCTTTACACAAGACAGTTAAGGATGATTGGGGATAAGCCATAATACACCTTGGTTTCCATCATAGGCACCCTTCAGTCTCGAGAGACTATGGTAACGTGCTCTGTATTGAGGACTTGGAACAGCATCTAGTGTTTTGACGCTGTACACGAAGCTGGAGTATCCTCTCCAGGGCATGAAGCCTGGGTAAAATAATATGGAGGATAGGCTGTTACCCAACCAGCAAATCCCCCCTCTCCACGTCGCTGAAATAGTCCAATGGAAAGGCAAGAACCAATACAACTGGTTTCGGCGACGCCACAGGAGTTGACAGAATGACACGAACTGCCTCTGGGACTCCAGCCGCAGATTTAGCCTCGGGGTTAACTCCTGAAGCCTTTTCAATTGGTGGATATAGCCACAAGGCAGTGGAGGTTTGGAATCGGCGTTTTCCTTCTCCTATATGGGCTGCCTCCCAAGGCTGACGGGTCCCACCTACCAGACCTGTTCCCTCACGGCATGGAGGCCGATGGCGGCAACTCAGTGGGGGTTTGAAGTCGGAGTTTTCCTTCTCCTAGATGGGCTGCCTTCCAGGGCTGACGGGTTCCACCTACCCACTTTGTTTTTCACTATCACTTTAAAAGAAACCAGTATTCCATGCAATAATGATGATGATGATTACAATGATGATGGAACTTCAGAACTGGAAGTGACCCTGTGGATCATCAAATCCAGCCTTTATCAAGGAAGTACAGTGGGGAATCAAACTCTGAACCGCTGGCTCCACAGCCAGATATCTAACCAGGTGCTTTCTGTATTCAGGATCTGCTTTATATTTGAAACATTTAATCTTTTGTCACCTATAATTAGAAACCGTGTAGTTGAAGAACAGTTTTACTGTATGATGAGCAGTTTGTTTCTATTGGAGGTTTTTCCTTAAAGTAATATAAATCTTTATGCTTAGTTTCTCAGAATATGGCTAGACCCCTCCATTAAGCAATGATAATGCACTGTACAGTATATAAAAGGATAAAATCATATAACAATTATAATTCAAACCACACTGAAAATTATTATTGCTCTGCCATCATTCTTAGACTTTATCAATTCATTGAAAGAATTATTGCACACTTGACATATATTTTGACAGACTGTCAAATGGCAAATGTGTCTAATGATCCTAATTACAGCTTGAGGTTTGAAGCTCAGTAATAATTCACATTTTGGCAACCTAACTAAAACTGTTACCAGCCATATGAGATGCCATGCAGTGAACTGTTCAGAGCTCAGTTAGACTTTAATTGAAGGCCTAATGAGCAAGATTTTCCCTGCCACCTGTCCTATAAGACTAGTTTTAGTTTATGAGACTCAGAAGCTGCCATTTCTGTGGTCCAAGAACTTCAAAGTGGATGGAACACAGCTCGCCTTTTTCTAGATGTAACCATAGGTGCCCATATATCTTTCCATGGCTCTCTTATCTTTCTGTCCTTACACATTTCATTGGACTTTTCTTCCATTCTTGTTCTACTCAAGCAGTGAAGGGGAACAGGTGACCCTGTAGATGCTGCTGGGTGGCAACCCCTCTCATGTGTGTCGTTGGTTATGTTTATGATGAAGTCCAACAACATCTAGAAGGCCACAAGTTCCCTATCCATGAACTAAAAGTTGAAATCATTTTCTTTAGCTGCCAATTATGGCTGAAAGTTCCTTTCAAAGTATCTACTCTACATAGATGTATGCAGAGCTCTTTTCTTCCAACCCTCAAGAAAAAACAGTTCTCCCAATAAGAATCAGTACACATCTTCAGCAGAAATTAAATCTAGATACAGGTAACTGCATTTACTTAGATTCATACCTTGTTGTCACCTTTCCTCTTCTTTTCCTTTGCTGGCTACTCCTTCCTAAACATACATTCAGATTATAAATGCCTTGTGGTGGGAATTTCTCTTTTGCTCATGTTAACCTGTAAAGCTTTATACTAGTGCATGGAGCTTAATACCAGTATATACAATCGAATAATTAATAATTGTGTGCCGTTAAGTCAATTCTGATTTATGGTGATCCTTTTGGGGGTGTGTGTGTGTTTCTAGGTAGAGATTACTCAGAAGTAATTTACCCTTCCATTCTTCTGGGGGCATCCTGGGACTGTGCAGCTTGCCCAAGGCCACATAGGCTGGCTCTCCTGGGATGCACAGTGTGGAATTCAAACCACAGCCTCTGCTCTGCAACCAGAAACCTAACTTGCTGAGCTATCCAGCTAACTACAAAGTTATTGCACATTTATATTCCATTTACTGTAGCAGGTGCAATGTACTGAATCAGTGCTTCCTCTATGCCAACTAAAGTAACCAATACCATATGTAAATTGTTTTATTTCAGTGCATTTAAAGAGAAACCTTGGCTTCAGCAACTGGGCATCGCAAGAACTTTGGCTAAGAAAAGCATATACAAACCTGTGTCCTGACTAGACCCAATGTTAAAGAAGCATCTTTACAAGATGGATGATCTAGAAAAGAAAAAATGTATTTTGGGATATTGTGCTTAAGTAGTAAAGTTACTGCTCTATTTTTGTCAGCCTCCGGCCAATAACTGATACCAGGAACACATTAAAAAGAGGAATGTTAAGGTGTATTAATAAGTCAGACATACTACAAATATAATATGGATATTTCTAGGCTTTTAGAGTAAAACTTTATATATAGCGCTGCTTAAGAAAAAGAGAGGCAGAAAGGGAAGAATTTGCAAATGGAAGTGAAAGTGTGGTTTTACCACTGAACTCTGGCCCTCTGCTCCCAGACTTCAGAAAGATCACATTGTGAGAAATAGTTTTCAACTGGGGCCCTTTGGATACTGAGAAACATTGTTATCTGATTGCAGTAGAGATATTTTGCATGTGAATAAGTACATCAGGTGTCATTTGGGGAGAATTGGGCATGTTCTACACATACACATAAGCCCAAAATGCAAGCCTTTATGTCAACTGTAAATTACTATTGCTCTAATTCCACTATAACATCATTCTCAACACAGATAAAGAAGGCATAATCCTCCTCATGCTGCCTGTCATTCATGTGAATGTATTTCCTATTTGTTATTTATTTGCTACCACATCTTGTCTGCATTATCATTTCAATCCAATGTATGACATTGCTTTAATCAATTTATTATCATAAAATTGAGTTTTATTTTTTAATTAACTTCAAATCATAGGCATCCTTCAGTGTCGAGAGACTATGGTAACATGCTCTGAATCAAGGAGTGTTCTCTCCACAGCATGAAGCCTGGGTAAAGTAATATGGAGGATAGGCTGTTACCCAAGCAGCAGATCCCCCCTCTCCACGTTGCTGAAATGGTCCAATGGAAAGGCAAGAGCCAATACGACTGGTTCCAGCAACGTCACAGGAGTTGGCAGAACGACTCAAACTGCCTTCGGGACCCCAGCCGGATTTTGCCTCTAGGTTAACTCCTGAAGCCTTTTCCATGAGTGGATATAGCCACAAGGCAGCTGAGGTTTGAAATAGGAGTTTTCCTTCTCCTAGATGGGCTGCCTTCCATGGCTGATGAGCCCCACCTACCTGGCCTGCTCTTTAATAGTGCTGAAGTATGGTCCAACTTTCCTGCCTCCCAGGTGTATGCAAATCTAATTGGCTTTCCTATTTACCATATTAACTTCAAATAACTTCTGGAAAAAGCAAGAAGCATTTACACTTGGAGTGAGGCAATATACCAGCACTATTGTATCCTATTATCTGTGATGAGACTGGAGGATAAAATCTAAGATTCTGGAAATCAGAAAGCCATGCCATAACTGCTATTTGCTAGTCAAGGATATTTGCTATTAATGACACCCATATGTATGGACAAAGGAAGGGCACATGAAATTTCTGATGACAAACTACCCTCAAGATACCTCCACACATCACAGCATATACAACAATGCCATAGTGACCCTATTCCTTGAGCTTCTGTAGCATTGACCCCACGACTATAAATTACCCAGCATGCCTCTGTGGCTGGGTACAGTTCTCCCTTCTCTGCCTGTCCCTTCATAGAAGACTTATGGATACCATCTGTTAACATCAAAGGCTCATTTATTTTTTAATAAACTGCTCTTGTCAACATTAGCAATTGACTCATTTTCTTGCTTCAGAGGTTTTCTTTCAACTGGTTTTTCTTCAAATAACAACAAATCCCTCTCAACATGTAGAGGTGTAGAACTGAACTCCTTATATTGACATTTACAGGATATGCTTGGCTCTTTGGTTACAACATCACTCAGCCTTATTGACGAGGGTGAAAAAGCCATCTCACTTAGGGCTCCCAAACCTTCTTGCCCAAGGTTGGTCATAATCTGGGTTGGAAAAGACTCTCCCCAGGTTTTCATTACATGTTCTATTTTCACATCCCTAGGCCTCCCTCTTCTGCCACTTCCCAAACTTCTTTCACTGTCTCGCTCCAATAAGTTGGCTTATGGTATACCTGTCTCCTCCATAACTTCTCAGCATATTCTCTTGATACCTTGAACTCTGTCCATTCTCCCATCCAGGAATCTTCCTCCACTATTTCTACCCAATCCTATTCTCTCTTGTCCTTCTCTTCTGTCACCCAGAAACACGCCTCCTCCTCTCTCGATTCCAACTCCCCTCTTTTTTCCTCTCCTTCTCCTTTTATATCCATCTCTCTTCTTGTCAAAATACTGCCCTGGTATTTTCCATTAAATTTCCTTCATACATAGTCCTCTCAGTTTCTTCCACCACCGATATCTTTCCCATTGCATCTTCACTTGAGGAGGTGAGTGGCACACTCTGACAAATCCCTATCAAGGTACTCTCAGCCCCACAGCCTCCAGGATGAGGATTTCTAAATCCCGTTATCACCACTTCTTTACAGCACAACACACAAAGGAAGGAAGAACTTACATAAAATTATTACCATGGGTCCCTTGGCAGAAGACTCTCTGCCCTGTCATGGCTGATTGTGGCCAAAAATGTAGGGGCCTGAAATCATGGCAGGGGGAGGAAGGTATACACATCACTACCTCATTGCCTTATGAGGGCTTCCAGTCATAGGAACACTGTACTGTACCAAGAGATGTTTCATGACTGGAACAGCAAAGCAGCAGCAGCTCGCTTGTGGTGGCACCCATAGCTTAATAGCATTCAGTTGAACAAAGTGCCTCTGAAGACCTTCACAATGGGAAGAGACTTACTGTAAGCTTACCACCCATTTAATCTATCACACTTTCAGACATAACACCTGAGTAAGTCTTCTTTTGCCAAACATGGAAGGCAGAGGTCAGCCCAGGCAACAGAGGGAAGTTTTGTGTATATACTAACAACAGTGCTTTATAATACAGCCCACAACACTGGTATGCCTACTCTATAATAGGGTGGGTATCTTGTGTTCTCTAGATGTTGGTGGAGTGCAGACTCCATCTCCAATAAGCTACATACAGTATATTGACTACTTATGTGGGATAAAGTGAATGATCATACATATATTGATTGGATAAATGTTTTGTGCCTAATTTAGAAACACAGAGAGGTATACCGAGGTATATAAAAGTTACTCACATATACTACAACACTTGTTGTGGCACAAATAATTTTTCTAACAAAATAACATTCTAATTGCTCTCACTTTTTAAGCTTTTAAGAATAAAGTGGGATAAATATAAAAATATACATAAATTGATAGCTATTATTTTGCTTTGAAGACAAGGGGGCATGGGGGGAACCCTCTCAGGTTCCACTTACACCCTAACCTGTTCTTAGGTACTAAAGAATTAGCATTTTGAGTATTACTACATAATTTGTGTTTCCATTTTGTTTTCATGAGACCTCCTTATTTCTCTCAAATGTTGATGATGTAAATTTGTTCAAGGACTTCCCTGCTTACACCTGTTCGTACAAAACAAGAACAAGGCTGTGATAGAATTGACCCTAAGCTGAGGCAGTGACCATTTGTCCTCTATGCAAGGGCCTGCAAGAAGCCAGTGTCCTCTATTTGAAGGCCTGTCCAGTCCAAGTCCAGTTTCCAAACAGACAACCTTGTTGAGCAAGGAGCTCAACAAATAAGATGTCTATCAGCAGTCAGTATCTGAACAGAAGAGCGGGCAAACACAAAGGCCATCTGGTCACAGCTTGCTAAAGCGAGATGCACTGTAATTTTGTTCAGTGATAAAAGTAATTTTCTAATTTTCACATATGCATATATACTAAAAAAACACAATTTAATACAAACCGTTGTCCCCTTTCCTCGATTTTCACATATGCATATATACTAAAAAAAAAAAAACCCCACCATTTAATACAAACTGTTGTCCCCTTTCCTCTTACTTATTGGAGGCCAGCCTACATGATACAAGTGCAATATTACACTCTGTTTCCAATTGTTTATTTTTAAAAGCAACTTTAGCGGGAAGCATCCACGATAAAACCACTAATTCCCCCCAGGGGTATAGTTTTCTTGAGCCGCTATTACAAGCAGAAGCTCTCCATGAAACGTTGCGGCGGGAATACCGCCCCTCCCCAGCTCAGCTGCCTGAGGCACCCCAAACCCAGACGTTAAACGCCGAGGAGTGTGCTGGTTCGCCTCCGTTAAAAAAAAGGAAAGTGACCCACGCACCAGGGTACGTAAACCCCTTTTTCAACGTTTCGTCTTTCCGCCAGGAAAGAAGAAAGGCCGGAACATCTGACACAGGCCTTGCTTCACCACCGGGCAGCTGTCGCTGTGACGCCGGGCGGTTAAGGAAGGATTTCCACTGCGCGCAGAAGCCGGAGCGCGTCCTTTCTGGTCGGCGGAGGGCGCTAAGGGAGGACCATGTTGCTGGTACTGTCGGAGGAGCACAAGGAGCACCTGGGGTTCCTTCCCCAGGTAGAGAGCTCAGGTACGAACGGTCCGACCCCGTTGTTCTCGCTTGTAGCCCCGAGAGCCCGGGGCCTGCGGAGCTTCAGCGGCACGACCCGCTGCAGAGACGCCTCGCCCGCCTCCTTTGATAGGAGATACGAAATAACCCCTCTTGCCTGTATTGTAAATTGTTGCTTTGATGCAAATCTGTATCTTCGTAGTTATCAGTACGTTTCACCGCACTCAGTGGGGGTATATTTCCGCAGCACTTTTTCGGGGATACCCAGTGTGCTGTCGTGGATGGACTAGGACTCTTTGAGAACAGGGTGCGAATCCTCCCTCAGCCGTGGAAGCGAGCTGGTAAAGCCACTCCACCAATACTCATTTACCTTAAAAACCCTATTAGGGTTGCTCTAAGTCGGTTCCGACCTGATAGCACAGAACAACAACATTTCTGGAGGGTGTTAGTAAATTGTTGCAACAAAAAGAACAAAGTCTTAAATCCATTTGCTAGTCCTAACCAAAGTAAGCCTGTCAACTCAACTGCTGCATTCATTTCTTTAATTCCCTTTCATTCAGGAGGTGTACGTAAGCCTGTCAACTCAACTGCTGCATTCAGTGTTAATCAACATTTCTTTAATTCCTTTTCATTCAGGAGGTGTACCTTAGTGGGAATAAGCAGTTGAATTCAGGTCAGGGAGACTTGAGGCATTATAAAGATGAACAAGTTTTGTTTGTCGCAACCTTTTGTGGAGCATAGCTACTTCTTGAGATGGATCCGAAGCAGTAGGGTATAGTCCACAAATGCTTATGTTTTTGTTTTCAGTTGTATTAATTGATCCTTTTAGTATTGTATATTCATTGTTACTAACTTAAATGCTGTCTTTTAATTGTTGTAAGGTGCCCCAAGTCATTTTTAAGGAGAAAGGTAGTTTTAAAATATTTTAAATATCTTCAGTAAGAAAGAATATATACACAGGGCGTGTGGTGTGTAAGATTGCCTGACATCAGAAATGATTTTTAAAAAAGGAGGAAGGCTGTGCTTGAGATAGATTGTAAACTGCAAAAAGCTCACACTGAAATAAATCTGTTAGACTTGATTGAAAAATAAATAAATAATTTTAATTTTGGTTATACATAATGAAAAAATTAGTAGGAGATCACTTCAGCTATTCAAGACACACTGGGCCTGTCTACATGGGTCCTTTTGAAGCAGGGTGGTTCAGGTTAAATAGGATAGCTTGTGGGTTAGTTCGAGGTGCAATCCTCGCATCCAAATGGCATATCGGAGCTCATTTCTATATATTTTCTATGCTATATCTTAAAACAGCAATATTTAACGGAGGCTGGATGGTCCCTTAGGGTCTTTCCCTGGCACCGAAAAGCCAAAAGTGTCAAAGCGAGGCAGATCTCTATAGGGAGGGTGTTCTAAAGTTGGGGGGGGGGCAACAGCCAAGAAGGCCCTATTTTGACATGCCAGCCCCTCACCTCTTTCAGGGATGGCACCTTCAGAAGGGCCTCCTGGCCTGATTTTAAAGAACAGGCAGGCTCGTATGGAAGAAGGTGGTCCTTTAGGTAACCAGGTCCTAAGCCATTTAGGGCTTTATATGTCAAAGTAAGCACTTTGAATTGGCCCCTAAGCAGCAACCGGCAGCTAGTGTAAAATTTCCAGAATTAGTGTGATATGAGTCCGTCTGGCGGCACCACCTACCATTTGCACAGCCCGGTTCTGTGCCAGTTGCAGTCGCCGGACCGTCTTCAAAGGTTGCCCCACGTATATTGCATTGCAATCCAGTCTGGTTGTTACCAATGCATGTGTGACTGTTGTCAGGCTCTACTGATCCAAGTAAGGGCGATGTTGATATATTCTCTGCAGCTGTAAGAAGGCACCCCTGGACACAGAGTCCACCTGGGCTTCCAAGGTCAGACCCCGGTCAAGGAGCACCCCCATGCTGCGGACCCTGTCCTTTATAGGGAGTGTAACCCCGTATAGGGCAGGGAAATGGCCCTTTAACCTATCTGGCAAAGCACCTACCAGCAGCACTTCTGAGTTGTCTGGACTAAGCCTCAGTTTATTGATCCTCGTCCAGTCCATTAATGAGTGAGTTCGGAACTGTGAATTATGTTGGGCTTATCCGAAGGGTGTGATATAGAGCAACAAAGCTATAATCTGGTGACTGTGGTCTGAAAATAATTCTTCTTTCTTTTCAGTTGTCAGTGAATTTGGTCGTATAGCTATGGAATTCTTAAGAAAAGGCACAAATCCAAAAATCTATGAAGGAGCAGCAAGTAAGAATGAGGGGTTTACTATTCAAGGGTGATCTTTCTTTAAGACCTGCAAGCAGTAAGAACAGTAATATTGGCTGAATAACTGGTTGTAGACATAGGCCTGATTCAGATATAATGATATTGCTCTGATAAGCCGTGCTTTATTTAGCTGGGAATGTGGCTTGTGCCCACATTTAAGGGAGTCACGTGAGCAGTGTGTAAACCATTATTTCTTGGTTTGGATGACGCAGGAGAGTAGTTTAGGAAGTCAGTATATTAGCACCAGAGCTGAGTGTGGGAGGAAGAAAAGAAGTGGAGGGAGACTGCTAGCACAAAGCTCATTCTTAGGCCAAGCAAGCATTCTTTGTCACCTTGACATTATCAGACTTACTTTAAAAGCTCCTAAAGATTGTTTAGCCTGCTGAAAGGGGACCATCTGTACAGTTTTGTGCTAGGTGCAGAGGAAAGGGATTTCTTCCTGTGCTTGCTATTAGTGTTGGGTGCACTTTATTCCCATTGGCCAGCTTCCTTTGCTTTTGTGCAGTTTCTACTTGACTATGACCACTGAAATATGGGGCAGGCATAGTGTATTTTGTGTGATGTAGAGCATCAAAACCATTTTTTAAAAAATTTCTTTGGAGTAAATGCAGTCATGTAATAAATTAAAAACGATGAATGTTAGTTATTTTGTTTTAATGTTTGCCTGTTTTCACATATGTCCCACACTCTTCAAAACATACTTTCTAAAGGTTTATTTGTACAGTTCTTTTACTTTGTAGTTGGTAACTAAAAGAGAAACCTTCAAAAACCAAAACTGAAGTTGGGTTCTGATCTGAATTATTATTATTACAGTGGTGCCTCGCTAGACAGCTAGCCCTGCATGACAGTTTTTTTACTAGACACTGACTTTTTGCGATCGCTATAGCGATTCGCAAAACAGTGATTCCTATGGGGGAATTTCGCTGGACAATGTTTGGTCCCTGCTTTGCAAACTGATTTTCGCTAGACAATGATTTTGACACCTCCCTCTCCACTCGCAAAACGGGTGTTTTCCGGATCTAAGCTTCACAAGACAGCTATTTAAACAGCTGATCGGCAGTTCACAAAGCGGCTTTCCTATGGCCGATCTTCGCTAGACAACGACGATTCTTCCCCATTGGAATGCTTTAAACAGGTTTCAATGCATTCCAATGGGGAAATGCTTTTTGCTAGAGAATGATTTCGCTAAACAGCGATTTCAGTGGAATGGATTATCATTGTCTAGCGAGGCACCACTGTATTTTAAATAAGGAACACAAGTTTGCTTAAGTAACATTTCCAGTTACAAACTACCAACAAAATTCAGATGGCTTTCTGTGCAGATGACATGCTGATGTGCTTGTATAAATTCATTTGGAAGGTGATGAGCTTTGAGTACTAGCTCAGTGTTGTGGACTGTGTTGGACTAGCACTCAGGAGGCCTAGTTTCAGATTCCCATTCAGCCATGGACGTTCACTGGAGTTGGCACTGGTAAAACCACTCCTTAAATACCTCACACGCCTCAGAAATTCTGCTGGGTCACCATAACTCTGATGTCACTTGATGGCACATACACATAACAAGTTTAAATTGGTGCTAGTGCAGGAGTATGAGGATTGGCTTTACTGCTGATCTGTGCATTCAGAAAAAGCTTGCGGCACGATGTCCACAGAATTGAATGCTTCTTCTCTAGAACAACCCCCTGCATCAAGACAACTCGCTGAGATATTTATTTTCTACAGATATGGAATTTTTGACTTTGAAAAGTATTGTCATGATTTCCCAAACTAGATTAGAAGACACCATTTACTTTCCAAACAATCATTATTTGATGTATTTGTGAAGGCTTTCACGGCCAGGATCTAATGGTTGTTGTGGGTTTTTCGGGCTCTTTGGCCGTGTTCTGAAGGTTGTTCTTCCTAACGTTTCACCAGTCTCTGTGGCTGGCATCTTCAGAGCACAGAAGTAGCACTCTGTGCTCTGCTGCAGTTTGTTTGGGAGTTGAGTATAAAAACAAATCATTATTTGTTTTTTCAATTTGTTAGAATGAGTTTTTTTTATATATTTTTCTGATAAATTCTGAAGAGATGGCAAGAATTAAGGATATGATGCAGACATTATATATTAAGGCTTTGATTTCCAAGTCAGTGGAATATTCACAGCAAGATGTCATTCTGCCTCTCCTTTCTATTGTTAACCATTTATGTATTCCTAAACATATAGTATATTAATATATGTTAACACACATATGTGCAGAATTCAGTGGGACTTCCTTTCAAGTTTGTGTAGTTAGATTTGCTGCTTTGGTAAGCTTATATGTTACAATTGATCAGCCCTAAATAGCAAAGCTAGGTGTTGTGCCTTTTTGGTGCTTTCTGTTTTCTTTCTCCATTTCCCCCCCAGGAAAACTCAATGTTACTAGTGACACAATTCAGCATGGAGTAGAGGGATTAACATACCTTCTCACTGAAAGCTCAAAGCTCATGGTAAGTGTACCTTAAAGTGCTCTATTAGTCAAGTAGCTAGACTTTTTATTTTCTTGAAATTTAAAAGGTATGTCACTGCTTTAAAGATAGCGTGCTTTAAATTTCACAGTTTGGGATGCACGTCTGTGCCAACCTTTAATATGCCTGTTCCTTTGACTTTTATATGCCACTTTCCTCTCCTTTAATATGCCTGTTCCTTTGACTTTTAAGAACATCTGTTAATACCTCTTGAAAAAGATGAGTTTTCAGTAATTGTTTCTCAGTCTGACTTGTGTTAACAAGACTGTTAGGAACATAGAGTGAAGAGTATTTATTTATTTAAAATATTTCTATCTTGCCTTTCTCCCCAAAAGGACCCAAGGCAGTGCATGTTATTAAAACAGTATTTAAAAGCTAAAAACAAACATTAAAAAAGAATTAGACAAGTATTATGTTAAAATGGTAATTCAATATTAAAACACATCTAAAACAACGGAGCACAATAGCCCATTTTAAACCCCTATCAGACCACCAGTCATTAAGGAAAAGCCTGCTTGAAGAGAAAGCTCTTTGCCGGCCTGCAGAAGGACAGCAAAGATGGAACCAGCCTAGCTTCTTGTGGCAGGGAGTTCCAGAGCCTGGGAGCAGTGACATAGAAGGCCCTCTCCTATGTCCCCACCAAGCACACCTGTGAAGGTGATGAGACTGAGAGAAAGGCCTCCCCTGATCTCAGTGTCCCAGTAGGCTCATAGAGGGAGATGCGGTCTTTTAGATTGCTTGGACCTAAGCTGTTTAAGCCTTTGTAGGCTAAAACCTGCACTTTGAATTGTGCCTGGAAACGGATTGGTAGCCAGTGGAGCTGCTATAACAGGAGAGATATGTTCCCTGTAACCTGCCCAATTAACAATTTGGTAGCGGCATTTTGGACTCTTTGAAGTTTCTGAACACATTCCAAAGGCAGCCCTACGTAGAGTGTGTTACAGTAATTCAACTGAGATGTAACTAGAACATGTATCACTGTGTCCGGATCAGATGTCTCAAGAAACAGGTGCAGCTAGTGCACATGTTTTTACTGTGCAAAGGCGCTCCTGGCCTCTGATGAAACCTGGGCATCCAGGCTCAGAGATGAATCCAGGAACACCCCCAAGCTGCGCGTCTATATTTTCAGAGGGAGTGTAGCCCCATCGAGCACAGGCTGCGACTCTGTTCCTTGATCTGGTTTTCGACTGACCAGGAGCACCTCTGTCTTGTCTGGATCACGTTTCAGTTTATTTGCCCTTATCCAGTTCATTGCTGACACCACACACTGATTTAAAACGGAGACAGCTTCCTTGGATTTGGATGGCAAGGAGAAATAGATTTGGGCATCATCAGCGTACTGGTGACACCGAACCCCAAAACTCCAGACAACCTCTCCCAGTGGTTTCATGTAGAAGTTAAATAGCATAGGAGACAAAACAGATTCCTGAGGGACACAGGCCAAAGGCAAGGGTGTCAAACAGGAGTCTCCCAACACCACCTGCTGGGTTCTCCCCTCCAGGAAGGACTGAAGCCATTGTAAAACAGTGCCTCCAAGTCCCATCACAGAGAGACAGCCCAGAGGGATACCATAGTTGATTGTATCGAAAGCCACTCAGAGGTCCAGCAGAACCAACAGGGACATACTTTCTCTTGTCCAGTTCCCAGCATAGGTCATCCACTAAGGGGACCAAAGCTGTATCATAGCCAGGCCTAAGCCAGATTTAAATGGGTCTAGATAATCCATCTCGTCCAGGAATCCCTGGAGCTGAGAAGCCGCAACTCACTTCAGCGCCTTGCCCAAGAATGGGACATTAGAGACTGGCTGGTAATTATCCAGTACTGTGGGGTCTAAAGAGGGTTTTTTCAATAATGGTCTTACTACTGCCTCCTTCAAGCAAGCTGGGATCCTACCCCTGCTGCAAGGAGGCATTCCCTACCTCTTGGACCCACTCAGCCAGTCCCTCTCTGGCAGCTTTTATAAGTCAGGATGGGCAAAGATCTAGCAGGCAAGCGGTAACCTTCACTGTTCCAAGTATCCTGTCCACATCTTCAGGCTGTAGGAGAACCATGTTGCAGCTTTTATAAGTCAGGATGGGCAAAGGAGAACCATGTACACTGTCTTGGACTCCTTGGAGATATGAACATAACTATTAAATTTATAAACAATATCAGCATGGAGGCAGTTGTAATGTGAGGCACTGGTGGCTGATCAGGTAGATGACGAATAGTAGACACAATATTTGGTTTAATTAGTGGGCCAGCTTACGACACTCAGTGGGCTGCAAATACCAACCAGGGACACTGATAAGTTCTTAATAATGTGTTCTCATTTGCTCCTTCACACCAGAAGATGCCTCCAAGATAAGATTTGTGGTTAATTAGTCCAAAGAGCAACATTAAGCATCTGCAAATCAGGGCGATTTGTAATTGACTATGAGGTTTCATTTTCATTCTACTTTTTGCCCGGTATATTGAGCTGTCTTTGTGAAATATCAGTTGGATGTCACACTATACTATACATGCATTAAAATAAGTAACAATTCTGCACTGTAAAATATACATAACTTTTCTATAAATACTAGCTGTATAAATCTTGTGATCTTGAAATATGATTGCATGAATTGGCATTCTTAGCACATCTCTGCATTTTAAATTTTGCTGTTTGTTAAAATGATTTTAGAAACTTAACCTGATGATTTATCCAGATGAACCATAGTAAGAGTTTGGACATGATGTTGCTTATTTTGACTTCTTAGATATCTGAGATAGATTTCCAAGACTCTATACTTGTACTAGGATTCTCTGAAGAACTGAATACTTTATTACTTCAGCTATATATTGACAACAGGAAGGAAATTAGAAGTATTTTGTCTGAACTAGCACCAAAACCACCTAGTTATCACAGTCTTGAATGGAGACTAGATGTGCAGGTGAGTAGAAATCCTTAGTAAATACTCACAGTTCTTTTTTAGTTCGTCACACCACAACTCAGATTGCCAAACAAGTTAAAGGCAATGTTTTAAAAAATGATAGTTATTTTTATATGGTTATTTATACTAGGGCAATAGAAAATTGTCTGTGTTGTTTATTCAGTGGTTTGTTGGCACTGTGTAGCCTGATTAAGCTTCTTCATATTTTGAAACCGCAAATTCATATTAAAGTATTCCACTTTTAATACTTCGCAGCTCTATCGTAATAATAGTTAGCACACTAATATTCTCCCTTGTTAGAGACAAATGGATAGATATGCTACTACAGTGGACCCTCTACTTATGGAATTAATCCATATTGGAACGGTGGCTGCAGGTCGAAAAGTCTGTAGATCAAGGCTCCATTGATGTACAATCCATTGAAAACCGATTAATCAGTAACTGGCCATTTTACTTCCGTTTTTGTTCCATTTTGGTTTTTTTCTGGTCTGTAGGCCGATTCTACGGCTGCAAGTCAAAACTAAATTTTGCGTCCAGAGAAGTCTGTAACTCGAAAAGTCTGTAAGTCAAGCCGTCTGTAAGTCGAGGGTCCACTGTGCTGTAGTATTTCGAAAAAACAAAATTATTAGCTAGAAGTTAATTGTTTAAACATTCATAGAATTGAATTGAATAAGCTATTGAACGTACAGCTTAAAGAAAATTTAAGAACAAATGTAAGTTCAGTTTTAACAAGATTACACAAAAAATTCTCCAAAAAAATTACATAATATATTGAAAAAGCAAACTTATCAAAAGTATCACAAAACATTAAAAATCTACTAAATAAAGAAATAACAATGATGGAATTGACAAAATCTATCAAAAAATAAAAAAATGATAAAACTCCCAGACAAGATGGCTTACCAGCAGAATTTTACAAATCTTTTCAGGACATACTATCCCTACCTATGGAAGAAGTTTGCAATGAAGTCTTAATAGAAGCCAAAATACCAAAACGATGGCTAGAGGCAAATATTTAATACCCAAAAAATCTAACACAAATAAAAAACAACAGACCAATATCGTTTTTAAATGTGGATTACAAAATTTTTGCAGCAATTATGGCAGAGAGACTCAAAAATTTCTGATGAATTTATACACCAAGATCAGAATGGATTCCTACCAAAAAGACAGTTAAGACATAACCTAAGGATAATTTTGGATATACTGGAATATTATGAAATGAAACCAGGGAAACAAATGGCATTACTAGTTCTTGATGTTCAAAAACCATTTGATAATGTCAGCTGGCAATTTATGATACAGCAGTTGAACATAGTGGGACATAGTGGACCTGGGAGAGAAGTTTATAAACATAATTAAGACAATCTGTAAGAACCAAACAGCGAAAATAATCATAAATGGTGAACTGACTGAAGACATTGAGATTTTAAAAAGCACAAGACAAGGATGCCCTCTCTCCTCTCTGCTGTTCATATTGACTCCGGAAGTGCTCAATAGAAATGTGAGACAGGATCTGGAAATTAAAGGAGCAAAAATAAAAAAGTGAAAGCTGCAAGCATTTGCAGATAACTTGGTATTTATCTTAGAAGATCCACTGGAATCAACACCAAAATTATTAGAAAACATTGAGAAATGTGAAGAAGTAGCAGTACTGAAAATCAACAAGGAAAGAAAAGAAAGGTATTACAAAAAAAATTAATAGCAAAACAAAAAAGCCAACTATCGAAAATGTCAAAGTTACAAATAGTTTAAAAGGTTAAATATTTGGGACTATATCTAACTGCAAGATGTGCAACCATCAAAGAAGACAATGACGTAAAATTACTTAAGCAAATAAAAACAGACTTGGAAAAATGGAAGAACGTACAATTATCAATGTTAGGAGGGATAGTGACAATTAAAATGTATATCTTACCAAAATTAGGGCTTGTCTTTTTTTTTTGTTCCAAACAGTACCAATTAAAATAGAAAAGAAATACTTTGAGGATTTAAACAAGATGATTTTAAAGTTTATTTGGCAAGGGAAGAAGGCAAGAATTAAGGTAAACTGAAAATGCTATAAGAATCTAAAGAAAGAGGAGGATTCGGACTGCCAGACTGGGAGCCATATTACCCAGCATGTATTCTAGTCTGGCTTAAAGAATGGATCATTTTGAGGATTAAAAGACAACTCTATCTAGAAGGATATGATCTACAATTGGGCTGGCATGCCTTTTTATGGTACGAGAAATCCAAAACCCATAGATACTTTCAGAATCATTATATTAGAAACTAACTATTGATAATATGGGAAAAAGATAAAAAAAGAATCTACATAAAAATATCTAGGTGGCTTTCTCCTATAGAAGCATTTGTGCACCCAAATCTCAGGAACTTTGAGGAAATTTTATGCTCTAAAGATATACTGTACTAGATACAGAAGGGAAATTAAAACCAAAACAAGATTTTATTGCTCAGGGATTAGGCTTTTTATAGTAGCCATTAATGCAAATTCAATCTAGATATGATAAAGATATTAAAGATGGCTTTTATAAAGAACAAATACTGCTTGAACAAATATTGTTAACCTCAGACGATAAATTTAGAAACTATATATAAAC